ACCCCTCCGCGCGCCGCCCGGCGAGCACCGGTTCGTGCGCGCGCGCCCTGTTGCACATGGCCGCAGTCGTGGCCGAGTGGTTAAGGCGACTGACTAGAAATCAGTTTCCCTCTGGGAGCGTAGGTTCGAGTCCTACCGACTGCGTAAATTTTTTCCCCTTCTCCCTGCCGGTCCGTTGCTGCTGCCACGGTTTGGGTTGGAGGATACAGGCGAGGGAGAGAACGGACGTCGGTGCGGGCTGAAAAACAGAGAGAGAGAGAGGTTTGATCGGACATTCCCCTCCAACAGGACAACGCCATGAAGGTCGCCTGACCTGACCGGAGCCCCGATGGTCGTGGGTAGCCGAAGAAGCCTGTGCCCGGGCCCGGGCCGGCCGCTGTGTCGGTCGCTGTGTCGCGCCGCGGGCCCCGCGGGCCATGGCGACCACGCCCCCGGCCCCCGGCCAGCGCGGCCAGGGCCCCGCGCCGCGGTGGGGCGTCCGCGGCGCGCGGGGGCGAACGCGGGGGCGGGCGGGCGCGCTGCCAGGCCCAGGAGGCAGCCCCCGGCCCGGCTGCAGCCTCGCCGCCAGCGCCAGCGCCAGCCTGCACTGCTGGACCAGGACCAGGACGCGGGCGGCTGGAGCTGCGGCCGGCTGCGCCGCCTGCGCAGGCCGGGCCTGCTCCGCCCCCACTCCACCGGCTCCACAGCCTCCTCCTCCTCCTTCTCCTCCGTCTCTTCCACCTCCACCGCCGCCACAGCCACTTCCACGTCGTCTTGGTCGTCGTCGTCGTCTCCGGAGCCGCTGCTGCCCGCCAGTCCGCTCGCTGACCTGGAGCCAGGCGTGCCGCTGCTCGAGCTCGCCATGGCGTGGCACCCCGTCACCAGGCGGACGGCGAAGATCGCCAGGTAACGCGCCCGTGTGTGGTGTGCGTGTGTGTGCATATGTGTGTGAGTGTTTGTGCTCGTGAATGTGTGTGACGAGCGCATGTTGTGCGTCTGTGCGACCACCCTGTCACTTTGGATTACAACCTATACACAACCCTCTGGACTCATGTAAGTGATTTAGCTGCAACTTCTAACTTCTGGTTTGACGGCCGCCTGTACCGAGGGCATCTTTTGAATGCGCTCGCTCCAGTGTTGCGAAATTGCATACTCGCTATAATAGGGATGCAGGGATCATGGCACCTGACCAAGGGAGTAAATTAACCCGTAACGCTGGAGCCTATTCAAAGATACACCCGGTAGATAAGTACAGAACACGATTTATTTAATTTTTCAAAAATGTGGCACCTAAAGAAAGGAGAGGGGAAAGTTGGGGAGGGAGCGGGTGGGATTTCAATAAGGCCAGGGTTTAATTACTATGGCCAGATCATAACTGTCTGGAGCTCATTTTTCATATTATGTGTCCAGGTTCTCTGCGCCGTTTTACAATAATTTGACGCACACTATATATTTTTATTTGCGCGGCGTTTTAAAATGGATTCAAAAGCAACTAGACGAGTGCCAACTGTCCGTGACGTGGACACGTTGGACGCGGTGCGGGCAACAGATGGCCGAGCTGCTTCTGTGTGTGGGACGGCGATTTGTCCCCTCTCCCCCGTTTGTTCTGCCGCGCCTTCTGGTTACCGTAGTTCGATTGTGGGCCACCGGAAAATTCCTTCTCGTTTATAGGGAAAAAAAAGGAACCGGTGCTCAAATTTCAATCGAAAGGTAATGCATCGGAAGACGCTTAATTTCGTTCTAGAGCGGATGTGCGCGCTCCGGGTGTGCTCCGGGCCCGGGTACAAATATCATGGGGTTCTTAAGTAACGTCAAGAAAATTGATAAAGCAAAGGTATAGGCCTAGGACTAAACACCCTCCAGGGCGATAAAAACTTTCGCGCCCTTACAGAGGCACTACAACTTTTGCAGCCACTTGGAAAGGCACAAAAATGCCCCAAAGGTGTTAAATTTTGATGCCTTTGGACACTTTCTTTGCCTTTAAGAGGCACTAAAATTTTGCCCTTTAAACAGGCACTAAATCCAACCGTTGTTTTTTTTTTCAGTTTGTCGATGCATGCGCTGAAATTCCTGATACCTGGTACTCTTACAGGTGACCACCACACCACATGAACTCCTGATCGTGAACACTATGAGGAGGCATAATATTTGTGACCCACCCCCCACCCCCAAGTGTTTGCGATAGAAAGGGTTAGGCCAACATTCCCTCGAGTACACCAGTGCGAAGTGTCTGCCTACTAGGCAACATTTACACTCGCGTCCTAAAGCGTTGCCTAGTTGGCAGGCGTAGTTTGCCTCTCGCAGGGCGCGTGCATGGAGGAAGTCTTATATACTTACTCCATGGGCGCGTGGCTCGTAGTTATTGTTTAGGCCGTCCACCTGCCGCCGGTGGATATGAATGGGGCGGATGAATGGCGGCCGCGTACAACACAGTCCGGGATGTGCAGCGCGCAGCGATATTGGAGCACGCCGGGCCGGCGACGACACCGCGCTGAGCCGAGCGGCCCGCGCAGCGCAGCGCTCCGCGCCAAGCCAAGCCAAGCCCCCGGGGGAGGGACAGGGGACAGGCGACGCGAGAGTCGAATGTCAGAACCGATCGGCGTCCCGCCTTATGGGCGTGGGCTTGAATGAATGAGGATCCAGAGCGGAGGGTGAATGGAAGAAGGGCCACAGCGGAAATGATACCCGGTTGTGGCTTTCGGTCATTCACACACATGAACATTCAAGAACACGCACACTTCCTCATATAAATGCCGACGTGAAAGTCACACCTTTGCAAGGGGGGGGGGGGGGGGCCCCCCCCCCCCCCCCGGGGCCCCCCCCCCCCCCCCCGGCCAGGGGGGGGGGGGGGGGGGGGGGGGGGGAGGGGGGGCTACAGTTTCAAGACTATTTGAAAATTATGCCCTACCGAATCCAAAAGGTGCTGAAAACTAGCGCCCTTGGTAGTTGTAATAGCTTTGCAAATGTACTAAATCCTTAACATATGTGACTTAACACATTTGTCTTACCAGTGTGGCCAGTGGAGCACAGAGGTCGCAACTCAAACTCATGCTCTATCCGCCGAGCAGCGCCTTGCATTGGCCACACATCGAGTGGATCACGACAACAAGCTTCAGGTTAATCCTCGCTCGATTTCTGATATTGAGTCGGTTGCAATTTTCAAAGGGGGAAGGAAGTCCGTCAGCTTTCCGGTTGGAGTGGTATTTGTAGTCACAAGTGTGGGGCTGTATGGTGTGGTCAGCAGCTTGCCGCGTTCTTACTATGTCTGCTTCGATGCTGCATTGTGCTGAGTTTGCCGCGGATGCGGCGG